AGCCCCATATTCGCATCCCCCTACTCACAATCCCAACCCCTACCCGCAACCCACAGCCCCAACCCAACCCTACCCGTACCCTCAATCCACGCCCAACTCACCCACCGCACTTGCCCACACCCTTGAAAACCTAAGCCTGAACTCTCACCCTACCTGGTTCATGGATACTGGAGCCTCCCACCACATCACTGCTGACCCAGGTACTTTATCTCATGTATTTTCTTCAAACATTTATTCACCCTCTCATATTATTGTAGGTAATGGATCCAAAGTGTGCACTACGCCTCTGGTAACGGTCTCCTTAACACAAACCCTCCCCTTTCCCTGAAAAATGTCCTTGTCTCCCCACACATCATCCATAACCTTATTTCTGTCCGTCAATTTACTCGTGATAACAACTGTTCTGTTGAATTTGACTCATCCGGCTTTTCTGTGAAGGACAAACGGACGGGAGCCGTGATTCATCGATCCAGTAGTGACGGACACCTCTACCCACTCTCTCAAGACCACCCTCCAGCGCACATTCACCTTGCCAAATTCGACCTGCCCACATGGCACCGCCGTCTTGACCACCCAAGCCCTGCAGTTCTCCATGGCGTCTCCTCTTCATTAGATAGTTTTAATAAATCCAAATTAGATCATTTATGTCATGCATGTCAGTTAGGCAAACATGTTCGCCTTCCATTTCAGTCCTCGAGTTGTGTATCTCTTTATCCCTTTCAATTAATGCATACAGACTTATGGCAATCGCCTGTTCCTAGTGTTACTGGTTTTAAATTCTATATGCTTTTACTAGATGATTTTTCGCACTATTTATGGATTTTTCCTTTACGTCACAAATCAATTTCATGCCATGGTCAAAAATCAATTTCACACCACTATCAAAGCAGTACAATGTGACAATGGGACAGAATACAGAAATAACCCCCTAGCCACCTTCTTTGAGTCCTTGGGTATCCTTTTCCGTTTTTCATGCCCCTACACTAGCCAACAAAATGGGCGCGCAGAACGCACCATACGTACCTTAAACAACACTGTCCGTACCCTACTCTTCCAAGCAAACCTCCCACCTCAGTTTTGGGTTGAAGCCCTCCATATGGCCACTCACCTATTCAACCTTCTCCCCACCACCACCCTCCAAAAACGCACACCTCATGAAGCCTTATATACCACCCCTCCTTCATACAACCACCTCCGCGTTTTTGGCTGCCTTTGTTACCCAAATCTATCCGCCACTGCGCCCCACAAACTTGCCCCACGTTCTGCGCGTTGCATTTTTCTTGGCTATCCTGAGTCTCAACGTGGCTATCGGTGCCTGGACCTGACCACACAGAAAATTATCGTCTCCCGACATGTTACCTTCGATGAGTCCAGTTTTCCCTATGCACCACCACAATCTCCGTCAACTTATAATTTTCTCGACGCCATGGAGGACTCTGATGTCCCCTACTTCCATCACCTCGAAAGCCACATACCCCAACTGTAACGCCCTAAAAACCGGTCTAGGATATTGTTAACTTTTAAATAAAAATAATAGATTTAGTATTTATGAAATTCATTTTAAAAAAAAAAAAAGAAAAAAAAAGAAAAAAAAATTGTTACTTGGAAGTGGTAGAAAAAAAAAATTCCTTGATTCTTCTTAAAAAAAAAAGGGAGTAAGATGTTAAGTTAAATTTTGAATTTTGATTGTGTCACACGTCACATAAGGAGGAAAATAAAATAAAATAAAATAAAATAATAAAGAATGTTTTAGTGACTGTTTTGTTTACTACTCAAATAATATTTTTTTTAAACAAGTAAACTTAGTTTCTTGATAAACAAATTATGTTAAAATAATGTACAAAAAATATAGAACTCAAAGATATACGTTTTATATTTTTCTAAAAATATTAAAAATTGAAAATGTGAAAATCGGACACGTATTACTAAACAAAGGGAGCAGGAAAATCTTTGGTTTTCCCACTCCACCAACACGCCACATTCAACCCAAAGGGCATTCCCCATGCATTCACCATCTTAATGATAGAAATGAATTTAACTTAATAATTTAAAAGTATTTTTTTTTATAAAACCTCAACCCATCATTTCCCATCCACCTTCCAGACCTTTCTTCCCTCCCTATAAAAAGAGTCTCTTAGGAAGAGAGACATTGGACACTTGGGGAGAAGATAAAAATATATCTAGAGGATGTGTGAGCTTATATGAGTGGTTTGTGGCATTGCCGAAGGGGAGAGAGATCGACATGGAGACTTGTCACGAAATCACCCTGTCAACGCGGTCAAGATATCATTTTATTTAAATCGACGACACAGAAGGTGTGCCGTTAACTCTAACCTTTAGATGTATATTCCATGTTTATATATTTCTGTGCATTTTGCATTACAACCTAAATATATCAAATGTTATAAAAAATATGGCAGTACGAATGAATACATACATATATGTTAGTTGTGTAAAAGTAACCAACTAAATAGGCACTACTGTTAGGGAATGCATTAGGGTTTGTTGTTAACGGGCTCATTCTTGTTGGGCTCGTAATTAGGTCATAGTCATGTAGCTATTATAAATAGCGGATCTATGTGTAATCAAATCATTCAAGTTCTGTTCTAATAATATTTTCTACATGGTATCAGAGCCAAATCTTGGGAAAACCAAAACCCTAAGTTTGCTCTAGTCTGTAGCTTCCGCTTCCCCGCCGTCGCCGTGCTTTTTCCGGAGACGGCGGCATCACCATCGATTTCCATTACCAATTATTGTACTTCTGTTGTTGACGATATAGGTTTCAATCTGTTCGTCCGGAGTAGTTGAGATCAAGGAGTAATTGTCCAGATCTCCGCTACCCTACTCTTTGCATATTTTCGACGCCCAAGGTTATTATTCATATCATTCACGTCCTAGTTTTGGCCGCCGAGTTAAAAGTGGTCAAGGTTATTACAAATACTCCGTATGCACCAAGAGGCGGCAACAACTAATGATTTCATCTATTGTTGTTTTTAAGCAGCAAACTCATTTGTTGGTATTGTTTCTTTTGTTTGAGAAGTGCCCTTCCATTCAGCAGTATGTTTCGCTAGCATGAGTGGATTGGTTTGGTTTGCATTCTTCTAGGAAGAAGGTTTTAATGATCAGCATTTCATGCACCTTTTGATCGACGTTTTGATGACTTTGTTTTTGGTTGTTATTTGGTATGTTCAAGTGCAACCATTTGTATGTTCGACACGTTTGTGAGGTTGGTCGCATAGTCGCGCCTCAGTTCGACATATTTGTTTGTGAGGTTGGTCGCATAGTCGCGCCTCAGTCCGGCAACATGGCTTCCAAGTTTGGGATGCTTGTTAGTCGTCCCCGTGTCACCGCGTGGGAGTCATTCGTCATCAAAATTTATTGTTCGTTTGCAGGGCCGGTCACCTTCGTTCGTTGTTGTCACAGCAGATCAAGTTCAAGTTGTTTATCAAGTTGTTTTTAGTCTTAGTTTTGTTTTAATTGTCCAAGTTGTGCATTCGTTAACCTCATACTCAACTTGAGGGGGAGTGTTAGGGAATGCATTAGGGTTTGTTGTTAACGGGCTCATTCTTGTTGGGCCCGTAATTAGGTCATAGTCATGTAGCTATTATAAATAGCGGATCTATGTGTAATCAAATCATTCAAGTTCTGTTCTAATAATATTTTCTACAACTACGTATATATATAACATTGTATACACCACACCTAAATATGTGATGTAAAATTTGTTATTATTATTATTATTATTTCTATTATTATTATTATTACTATTATTATTATTATTATTATTATTATTATTAGTTTGTAGTATACGAACACGTAAATGTGGAAATAAACATTAGGGAACTAAGGAAACAATTGATGTATAAGGAAAAATATGTACAGCACGAAGTTGTTTTTTTTTTTTTACCGAAGAAGATAAGAAATAATAATAGTAGTAATAATAAAAGAAGATGAACAAGAGCAGTAAGGGTAATAATAATAAGAGAAGATGAACAAGAGCAGTAAGGGTAATAATAATAAAGGGATGAATATGTTTTTTTAGTGTTACGGTTAGACTAACACAAATAAGATTTGTTAACCAATTAAAAAAAAAGGTTGTTTTTGTAACGGTTGGATTGACACTAACAGTTTAAGGATAATCCCTAAACTTTATTCAATAAGTTGTTTTTGAATGTTATTCATATAATGTATTGCCTTACAAAAAAAAAACTTGAGTTCTTTTTAATTAAGACCGAACATAATAAATCAATCTACATTCTAGCAATTAGATTTAAAGGTGTGAATACCATGGAAAAAAAATAGAAGTTAGCACAATTAGTTTTATATGTATATAAAGGTCCGATTATATACACATATATTTATGAACTAAAAAAAAATGGTAATAGTCATTGTTTGTTTCCTAAGATTGATAAGATGTAGGTGTTGTATTTAATTAATAGACTTAAACCTGTAAATTTATATTCTTTTAACGCCTAAGTGACATTTTATCGCTCCGCGTGCAACAACTAAATGTTTTCAAAACAAAGGGGACACTAATTGACCCTAGATTTCGAAAATGTTTATGATTGAAGTTATCAAAAGTGGTTTAGTTCAATAGCCCTGTTAGAGTTTATCAACTGTTAATGGACAAAGTGAAAGCTTCAGAGTTAATATAACGACATACCCTGACCAGGTATTGTCATGTTTTATCAAGTGGTTTAACCACACGTTATAAGGCCGGATCGTATGTGTCCAAGTGGATGAGCCTACAAATAATCATACCACAACGTGCGCACGAGAACCCAACGATGACCCCGTGGATCTAG